TGTATGATACAGTGTAACATAATTCTTTGGTCATAGGGGTGAAGTTTGGGAAAAATAATCAGGGATCAAGTCTACCAGCGGCAGTGCGGGATTCAACTTTTTCGGAATAATAATTTTAAAAAATTATGTTGAAACAATAAAATATTTATTTCTTATGCTTTTAATGCGCACAAAATAAGAATAATATCACTTATTTAATATTTAAAAAAAAAAATGAAAGGAAGAAATGACTGCACTATAAGAATAGCGTTTTGATTGGACGGAGGAAGTATAAGAAAAAAGTTAAAAATAAAAAAACAAAAAGTTAACTAAGAGGTGAAGATAGTGGAGTAAAATAATGAAAAGTGTAATGAAAGAAACTCCAGAACAATGATCAGGTGATCCAAATTATTATTATTATTATTATTAAATTATAATTATAATTATAATAATATGTGGAAGATGTAAAGGCAGCCAGATTAGCAGGAAACAGGCGAACATGATTAAAGGTCAAAACGGGATAAATACATGTTAGGGGCAAAATGGTAATTTAGAAGGGGTGTGAATCAAACAGCCCACTGAAATCCACAATGCAAAGGGAAAGCTGACCTACGTGGGCCGCCTTTTTGCATATAAATTAGCTGTACAGACATAAACCAACCCCTTATCACCCCCGTCGCTATCCCACCCTCATCTATTTATTTTCCGTTACAACTATTTTCCATTTTTCTTTTTAAAACTTCCCTCTATGTGTATAATTTTAGACGCACAATTTATATTTTCAATTCGTCCACGAAAATTACTATGTAATATTTATTATTACTTTTTATTGTTCATGCTAGACTCTGTTACAACCACTTATTGAAGCACAAATGTATATGTTCATATATATTTTTTAGGTTCAAATATGTGACCTCCCATTTGGAAGGATCAGAATTATGCCGTTTAACTACCATGAATTGATCAACTCCATTAAGTTCACGCATTAATTAAATGGAAAAATAAATTTAATATAATAATAATATTTTTTTTAGTGTAAATCACGAGGTGATACGTGTCTTTCTCTATCCGTTTAGCGGTTCAAGTCCACCCGATTAATCCACGTTCGCTCCAAAAGGCACGGGAGCTGACTCAAGGAGAATCGTCACTTATGGGAATCGAATTGAACCCGGATTATCCCGGAATTCTCCGCACAATAATAATATATTAGATAGTAATTTTTGTTGGAAAACACAGCATGACTCTTGTAGAAATTTCTTCAAGTGTTATTATTATTATTATTATTATTATTATTATTATTATTATTATTATTATTTGGACTTAATTGATTTCAGTGCTAACTACCATGTAATGTGATAACATCCTGATTACCATTCCAAATGAGTGGTCAGAGGTTCGAACATCGGTGATGGGAGTTTAAATTCTTTGTGCTAAAAATGTTTGAGAAACTATAAAACATATATAATCTTGAAAAGAATCATGATTCATGAGTATTTTGAAAAAAAAAAAAAAAAAAGAAAGAAGATTTCCAGTCAAATTCTATCTATGAAAAGTTCCTCCTAACACCTATTGTTACATCTATCAAACTTAAACCCAAAACTTTATTTAAGGGAATTAAATTTCTTACACTTGAATTGCATTATCTCTTGTATTTTTATTTTTATTTTTATGTAAGAGTGTTTAGGTGGTATTAACAGAATTATAATAAAGAAGGAAAAAAGTGATATTGTGTTGCAAGCATGGGCGGAGCGAGTATGGGGCAGCTGTCTTCCTCCCCCACCCCACCCCTTATATATAGGGGACCCTTGTATATATATAGTAAATGTTTAGATATAACTAAATAATATAGATATATATTACTCAAATATGAAGTGTTTAGATAGTTAAGTATGTATGTGTTATAGTAGAGGTCAAGAGGGCAATCCTATTAGATGATATTTTTGGCTTTGCCCAGGCCACAAGAGTGACTCTTATTTCCTTTATTATTATTATTATTATTATTATTATTATTATTATTATTATTATTATTATTATTATTATTATTATTATTATTATTATTATTTTTGTAAAATAAAAAATAAAAAATTGGTGTAAGAAGTTTTGGAACCAAAAAAAAAAAAAAGAATAAAATCTCCATATTACAACTTTCCAGCATTCGATACTTTTATTTAAAATAATCTCTACTTATAACATTTTAGTCATTTCATTTACATCTTTTAAAAATTGATAAATTTAAATTAAAAAACAATATCTAATATCGCTAATCCCAACCGTTATAAATGTTATGTGATGTAATATTGATATATCAAATTTATAAATAAATTATAATATCACGCTAACTTTTATATACTTTAATATTAACAAAAATTAAATTAAATGAACGAAAATTGTGGTCACCGGTTTCGATTGTACGAGTACCACATTCAAAACGATCATATAACATATTGTTAATATATTTATCTTATCTAATAGTAACAAAATTGTCATTTGAATATTATTGTATTATTATAAAAAATTTAGTGCTTCAAAATGCTAAAATTTAAAAAGTTGCTCAAAATAGTTTTTTCAATTAACTTTTTGAGAAAATTATTTTACATGTAATCAACTATCAACTAACAACTAATTTACTAAACACTTTCACAATCAATTAATGCTATTAACTAATCAAACTCACTAACTCAATCAGTTAACAGCTATTTACCAAACACTCGTTATGAAATGAATATTATTATAAGACGGCCTATATATTAATAATTCGTAAATGCAACTTTTTGCATCAGGTTACATGCAGTACTAGTGTATCCATTCCTTTTATATATATACATACAATAATTGGTGGCAGAATCATGGGTTAGGTTAAATTTTTGGGAACTATTTCATTGCATCATATTCTGATATTGCCATACCAAAAAATTATAGTTATTTAATTTTTATTCAAATTTACATTTCTAATATCATCAAAATTCACCTAGAGCCTAACATTTATCAGCTTAACACACACACACACATATTATGTTAAATTATTATAAACAACTTATGTTTATTCTATTTTTATTTGAATTTATATTTTAATCTTGAATCTTGAATTATTATTAACTAGGGAGTATTTTTTTATACTTATTATGTCATTAATAATAAAACAAAAAATAATAATTAATAACAACAACAATAATAAATTGTAAAAGTAATTTAAGAGTTAAGTAAATTTCATACGTATGCCTTTATATATCATTTATATGTAATAAGTTAAGAGTAAACAATTAATTTACTAACACATTTTCTATAACCAGCTAATACTATATCTACTAATCAAAACAGTTAACACAATCAGCTATTAGTTAATTGGTCCTGTTTGGTAACATAGTTAGCTTATAAGTCAATTTTAGCTTATTTGACCACTATTAGCTATTTGAATTGGTTAAACAATCGATATGAGTGTTTGATTAATTAGTTTTTTATAACAACTTATTATTTCAGAATGCTAAAATTCAAAAAGTTGCTCAAAGTAGCTTTTTCGATAAGCTTTTTAAAAATGTCATTTTTTTTTTCATGTAGTCAGTTATTAGCTAACAACTAATTTACTAAAATTTTTTACAATCAGCTAATACTATCAACTAATCAAACTCATTAACTCAATCAGCTATCAGCTAACAATTATTGACCAAACACTCCAATAGCTAATTGTCAAACACCCTTTTATATTGGGATGTTATTTACCTAATTAATTATTTTTTTATTAGCCATTCCGCGCTGTTAAATTTAATTTTGAGAGCAGTGTCATTATTAGTAAAATAAAAAGTGATTTTACGCAACTTTATGTATATAGATAGATTATCAACCATTTTTGACCTCTACCAAAAAAAAAAATCAACCATTTTTGACTGATATTATTATTACAAGTCAAAAGTTGACCCATAACTTGGAAATGTGATAAATGGGAAATTTAAGGTGTACACACTTTTAGTTTTTACATAATATCGGCTCTTATGGTCATTTTCAATTTTGAATTATAAAAAAGGTTTTGGCGAAAAATAAATTGAATAATTATTTAGGTACCTAATTAATGAAATTTAATAATGAAAATATGGTTATTTTATTAGGTACCTACATCGAAAAACTTTAATGAAATTTTACTATTTTAAAAATTGGATCTTTATTATAATAAAATTTAAACATATAATATTAAGAATTTATTTTAATAATAATATTAAGGATTTAGTTTTATAACTTTTGACAATTTACTCCATGTTGACGATATTTACCATTAAGCATCAATGTTGCAGAAGGCGTTAATCGGGCACCTAGGCGCCTCTTAAGCGGTTGACTAATTGAGTATATCGTCTTCACTTTTCTCGTTAACTAGCGGAGTTAGGCGTCCAACTCAGAACCTAGGGCGCCTAGCTAGACGACTAGCCAACTAAAAGTCGCGTAGGACTGAAATCGCCTCGACCTATGGGACGCCTAAGCCAATTTTTATAACACTGTTAAGCATGTAATTCGATGTTGCATCAATTAGTAATCAAATATTGTAGTATTTGTATTGTGTAAAAGAAATAATAACATATATACAATATTAGTCAATCAAAACCTTATGAATAAAAAAAAAAAAAGATAAAAGAAACCAATAGAAGCGATAAGAAAAAATCAATATAAATTTAACAAAATAGAGACACCCTAATTAGGTGCAAGTGTAGAAATTCAGTCAATTATTACGTAATTTTATTTTTTGGTACATCTAATACAACTATGGACAGAATTTAAAACTTTATATCTAAAATCACAAGTGGCAAATTTGGCATATAATTATTAATTTCATGTGCATCATTTTTCTTGATGAGTTTCTAAAAATAGAAAAATTAGAAATCAAAAAGATTCCACAGCTAGCTTATCAAAAGTTTAAAAAGAAAAAAAAATTAATAAAAAAGTTGAATAAATGTCGACTCTTTTATTATTTAATTTAATTTAATTTATGAAAGATAACAGGCAGATCACACCGAAATAAATTAATAAATTCACCACGCCTTCATCTTTCACCGTCTTTTTGTGATTATAAAACTTTATTTTCCCAACCCAGCCTGAGCCTCCTCCTTCTCCTTCTTCTTCTTCGTCGTTCTTCAATTTCTTCATTTTTTTCTTCCCCAATATATCGTTTCTCCATTCTTCTTTCCTCAATTATGCTTGGTGACCCGGGCCAAATGATGAGCAGCTCCGGCGGAGGGGGAACAACCGGAGCTGCTGCGGCGGAGAGCGGCTCCGCCGCCGCCGCCGCAAGTAACAGCGGTGGGAGCAGCGGAACGGGGGCCTTGCCCGGTGGATTTGGCGAGGAAAGCGAAAGAAATTCCGGCGGGAATCGGTGGCCGAGGCAAGAAACTTTAGCTTTGCTCAAAATTAGGTCTGATATGGATGCCGTTTTCAGAGACTCGAGCCTTAAAGGTCCACTGTGGGAAGAAGTTTCCAGGTAGCTAGCTAGAATGAAATCATAATCAAGCTCAATTTTCTTTTACTTTTTTTTTTTTAAAAAAAATCATTTCCCTTTTTTATTTCCTTTTTCAATGAAGAATAAGATCCAGTTGAACTAATGAATTGTTATGAAATATGATTTTTGTTTTAATTTAAATTTTACAAAATTCAGCAGAATTTTTTTTTCTGGATTTTATTTATTTTTATCTGCTATTACATGTAGCTGCAGACTACCAGCTGCTTTTTAATGTAATAATTATTAGGTAATTAATCTGAATTTAGCTAGAAATGTAATGATGAATTCTTAATTATTGCAGTTGTGATTAATGAGAGTTAATGTTAGTTAGTGATTATTTCATGTGGAGATTTAATTTGAAGGAAAAAAGAAAAAAAGTTGATGGAATAATTCAATTCAAAGTGATAAGTGTTTGTTTAATGTTTATTTAAAGGAAAATGGCGGAATTGGGATATCATCGGAGCTCGAAGAAATGCAAAGAGAAGTTCGAGAACGTGTTTAAGTATCACAAAAGGACCAAAGAAGGCCGCGCCGCCAAATCCGACGGCAAAACTTATCGTTTCTTCGATCAGCTCCAGGCTTTCCACACTCCTTCACAGGCGGCGGCGGCGGCGCAGCCAATGGTGGTCACGGCGCCGGCTGGGAATCCTCCGCGGCCGGTAACGGCGGCGCTGCCTCAGTTCACTGTTTCATCGGTGCAAAACACTAGTTCCGCATTTCCGGCGCCGTTGAGGGCGGCGTTTGCGCCGATTCCGGCGGCGAACAATGCGGCGTTCCCGGCCGGGACCGGGAATGCATTGTCGTATTCGACGTCATCGTCGACGTCGTCCGACGAGGATATCCAGCGGCGGCACCGGAAGAAGCGGAAGTGGAAGGAGTTCTTCGAGAGGGTGATGGGGGACGTGATCGCGAAGCAGGAGGAGATGCAGAGGAAGTTTCTAGAAGCCCTGGAGAAGCGGGAGCGAGATCGGACAGTTAGAGAGGACGCCTGGAGAGCTCAAGAGACGGCGAGGATAAAGCGCGAGCGCGATATTCTTCTCCAAGAAAGATCAATGGCGGCCGCCAAGGACGCCGCCGTGATCAATCTCCTCCAAAAGCTCTCCGATCAAAACAACACCGTACAAATCCCATCAATAACCAACAACTCCTCAGATCCAATAATCCAAATCCAAGTCCAAATACCGGAAACCCTATCCACACCACCCCTAGCCCCACCGCCGCCACTCCCGCAACCCCAAGAACCGTCCCCGATATCCGTGGCGCCACCGGCATCAATGCCATTCTCAATCCAAACACCGACACCAGAAAAAAACGCCGCCGCAGGCGGCGGCGGCGGCGAGAGTTTTACTACTGCTCCGCCTAGCTCCTCCCGGTGGCCGAAAGCCGAAGTACAAGCGCTGATAGACCTCCGGTCAAGCCTGGACGTGAAATACCAAGAAAACACCCCGAAAGGGCCGCTCTGGGAAGACATATCCGCCGCAATGCGGCGGCTCGGCTACAACCGAAACCCGAAACGGTGCAAAGAGAAATGGGAGAATATCAACAAATACTTCAAGAAAGTAAAGGAGAACAACAAGAAGCGGCCGGAAGACTCAAAGACCTGCCCGTATTTCCACCAGCTCGAAGCTCTATACAGTAAAAAAGCCAAACTGGAGATCAAGCCCGAAAGCAACCCAAACACGGCCCGGCCCGAACTGGTAAACGGCGACGATGACGGCGACTATGATGACGACGAAGATGGCGGCGGCGGAGGCTACGAGATTGCCGCCAACATGCAGTACGGTTTAGCTCAAGAAGCAACGCATTCACGAGAAGAAGAAGAGAGAAAGTGAGATCTAAAGACGTTTTGAAGGCAAATGGCATCGGGAATCGCGAGTGGGTCTAACAGATTTTGCAGAAGGATGTCAGAAGTGGGTCAGAGTTCAAGAATTCCAGATTGGGTTTCAGTGAGAAGGTGAAAAACTTAAAAACACAATACATTTTCATTTTTTTTTTTACATAATTAAGAATATTATATTTAACTAGTGATTAGTTTTTGTGTAACTTAATTTCCAATTTCATAAATTTTTTATTATTTCTTAATAATAGGGGAAACAAATTAAAAATGAGAGTTCAAAGAACAAATAAAAAAGAAAAAAGAAGAGAACAATCTTAATTTGTACCCTATTTTTGTTCTTCTTCTTTCTGTTTCAAGGTTGTAAATGTGGTAATTGGTTATTCAATGGTTTGTTTTATCTGTTTCTTTTCCATATTTTTAAAATTCTCTTTTGTACTTTCTTATAGTTCTTTATTCAAAAATGACTTATATACTTCCTATCATGTCTCATTCTTATCGATTATCTATTTATCTACAATTTTATTCCGTAAAAATTTAAAATTATATTTAAGCCCTTGATTTTTAAGAAAAATATAAGACTTTTGAATTGAAATATTATCCATGGTGTTGGGCGTCGGCTGAGTTAAGTCCCTGCTCGATTCGAGACGTAGTGATGTGGCTTCCCAAGGAGGGATGTGGTTAAATCGTTAATGTCCACTTACTTATCACCAATTGGTTGTTAAGTAGGATATGAAAACTAGGTAGCTAAAGAACTTTGTGGTTAAGCGTGCTTGACTTACATAAGTCAAAGGATGACTTACATCAGTCATAGGATGGGTGACCCGTGTTCGAATCGATAGCGAGGCGAAAGTCGAGGTGATAGGCGCAACTGAGCGAGCTTGGTCGAGACGTGGCGTTACTTACAGTAGTCATAAGATGCTGACCCACTGGGAAGTATGCATAGTAAGCATATTGCAACGCTAAGAGTTGGCCCGCATTGACAACTCAACTGGTCGTAGAAGTGAAATTTGTCACAAGAAATTTTAGAGTTCTTGGGACTTAATTATGGAGAATTTAATGTATCAAAAAAATATTAATCAATTACTATTGAAAGTTATAGTATATTGCAAATCTAAATTGAATAATTTTTCACTACTAAACAAAACAAAACCTACCTGTCTCATTCTAGGAAATTATTGCCAGCTCGATCTTAGTTGGCAAGGGTGATGGAATTTGATTCCTCATACAGGCTAGCTAGGGACTAGCTTGAAGGCTGTTGTTGTGTGAACCAACTTTTAATTATTGTCCAAAAGAAATATAAAATATGTAGAGATGGAAATGGTGAGGTGAAGAAAAACAAAACATTATTATTAATGACTATATAGTATATATAATTTATTTTGTACTACATCTGTCTCATTTTACATGTCTTACTTTCCTTTTTAGTTTGTTTCAAAATGTTATCTTCTTTCTAAAATTAAACATCACCATCATTCTACTTTTCCTAATTTATTTTTACGAATTTTACATTCTTTGTTGATTTTTATTTCTAAAAGTAAAAAAAAGTGAGGGACATAATAGCAAAATACATAGTATCTTAATTTCTTAAAAAGCATGCAAAAATAAATGTGATAATCAATTCGAGATAGAGAAAGTATATTCTTGTAAAAGGCAACATAAAAATTAAAGTCATCAAATAATAAAATAAAATTTTTCTCCATCAATGAATATAAAAAGTTTGAGACATGTGGTGCAGTAATAACAGAAAAAGAAATCTAAAAATCGTGGGATGGGTAATCACTAACAAAGTAACAATATAATGCAATCTAGACTTTGTGTCGCACATGCATTTGTTTGTGAAACATTATTGATGTGAAAATTAATTTCTGTCACAATGTTGAGCTGTCCTAGGAATAGTGGTGGAACTGAAAACAATAAAAAGAAATTGGCTTTCTCGGAATCAGCCACATTAATTACTCTAGCTTCTTGTCCCAAAAACAATTTTCCAGCATTTTCAATAGTTGTAAATTTTGAAAAGTTTTTACAAATATGTCTAGAAAAGAGAAGATGAAAGGAAAAGAAAAGAAAAAGAAACAAAATTTGGAAAACAAATATATATATATATATATATATATATATATATATATATTAACGCGCCCAGCGAGCACGTGGAGTGCATGCACCTGGCTGGGCGCGTCACGCACACCAATGAGATTTTTTCCTTTTCCCTTTTTTGGCGCGTCAAGGGGCTGTTTTTACTAACTGAAAATTTTTGGAAACTGGAAAATAGAAAACAGAAAACATGTTTACTAGCAAGTTTTTCATTTTGAAAACTGAAAAAAATTTCTGAAAAATTGGAACACTTTTAAAAACTGTTTTTTTAAATGGAAATCAGAATTATCTATCATCTATTTAGTTATATATTTCAATATAACCACATTACTATGATTACATTCATTATCATCTTATTTTACTTATCACTATCTTCTATCTTTCTAACTAGGACTATGTGGTCCAATGGTACTTGAGTTGGATTTCCATTTGGAAGGTTGTGAGTTCGAGTTTTAGTTGGATTACTTTGTAATAGAGCTAGTAGCATTCAACAAAACAAATCTTCTATCTTTCTACATACTTTACTTATTTAAACCTAACTTATTTGCTTACACTTTAAAGTTAGATATTATTTACATTATCAAAATTAAGAATTAAAGTCTATATAATGTTTTAGATTTTGATTAAACTCAATAGATTATTAATTCAAATATTTTTAATTATATTACATCGTAATACAAGTTCGGTCCAGATATCGGATATTGAAATCTCACATATATTAGAATTCAAAGTAAAAGTTATATATTCATATACATGTCATTCAAATGAATATAAATATTCAAAAAATATTTTAAATATTAGCTCAAAAAATATTAATATTATCTAAACTAAAATTTAGGTGAACTTAGTAGGTTATTTGTTTGGATATATATTTTTAGTTATTGTGTTATATATCTACTATACTAATAAGAGTCCAAGAGAGTTAGGCCTATAATGGGTAGAAAAAATGGCGGTCACAGATTTTAATCAAATGAATGGCTCAGATTGATTAAAAGATTGATAAGATTTAAATTTTACACTAAAATTTCCTAAAATACCCACACATCGTTACTAATTCCGTTAAAATTTTAAGAATTGCCGTTAGTTCACCGTTAACTTACTCATTGATTTCAATAAAAAAAAAAGGCTAAAGTGTCATCCCGCACCCTGAACCATTTGTGATTATTCATCCCGCACCATGAACTGTAAAAAGTGATATTTCGAGCCATCAACCAATTTTTTTTTTTCACCTAGCACTTTTTATAGGTTGTCCGGTAATAACGATGACATGGCACCGGTTTCAACTGCTGATGTGGCCTTTTTATCTAGTCAACGAGTTGTTAGTGTCATCCCGCACCCTGAACCATTTGTGATTATTCATCCCGCACCATGAACTGTAAAGAGTGATATTTCGAGCCATCAACTAATTATTTTTTTTCACCTAGCACTTTTTATAGGTTGTCCGGTAATAACGATGACAAAGATGGAATGTAGGCATTGGACGAATTTATATTTCAATTTTTCTATTTCTTTTGTACATTTTCCCAATTTCTCCATATTTTTCTTATTTTTGTTTCTTGATTTTTCAGTATTTTTATTTTTCAAAGATGTTTGTAAACTGCCAATGTAATGTTTGTAAAACTGCAAGTGGTAAATTGCCAATGGTAACATGCCAATGTATTCCATTAAACATAGACATTGATAACGTAGTCAAACTGCTAGTGGTAAACTTCCAATGCAGTCAAAATTGAAATATAAATTCGTCCAATGCCTACCTTCCATCTTTGTCATCGTTATTACCGGACAACCTATAAAAAGTGCTAGGTGAAAAAAAATAATTAGTTGATGGCTCGAAATATCACTTTTTACAGTTCATGGTGCGGGATGAATAATCACAAATGGTTCAGGGTGCGGGATGACACTAACAACTCGTTGACTAGATAAAAAGGCCACATCAGCAGTTGAAACCGGTGCCATGTCATCGTTATTACCGGACAACCTATAAAAAGTGCAAGGTGAAAAAAAAAAATTTGGTTGATGGCTCGAAATATCACTTTTTACAGTTCATGGTGCGGGATGAATAATCACAAATGGTTCAGGGTGCGGGATGACACTTTAGCCTAAAAAAAAAAAGGTCTTAGGTTCAAACCTCATCCCAACCAAAGTTGACATAATTAGTACTCTATTTTACTCTTATTAAATTATATAAATAATAATTTAGTAGCTACAACAAAAAATTATAGATATGCATTTCTTTAATTTAGAATTATGTGTCCACAATGCCATTATTCAAAAAAAATTATTCATTATTAATAAATTAAATAAGAGAAATAATTGTATTAGTTATATTGTCCTTATTTTTCTACAATATAAAAATTCTTTATATTCAAATTTATTAATTGATTATATTCGCTACATTGTTCTTACAATGTCTTAATTCAGTAAAAAAAAATTATTATCAATAAATTAATTAAGAGAAATATTTTCATTAGTTATATTGTCTTTATTTTTCTCAAATGTAAAAATTTTTACATTCAAATTCATCAATTGATTATATTCACTACATTGTCTATTATCTTTTTTGTGCACTATTTTTCTAATTAAATATCAAAGTTATAATACAAAATAATGCTATATATTTATTTACCAAAGTATTTTATTAATACCATGAAAATTTTTTAAAAAATATATAATTAATAAAGCCAACCATATTAACTACTTGAGAGATTTTGTGACAAAGAGAGTATTCAAATTACACAACAAATTGAAGTGAGAGCTACCTTGCAATGTCCTTGTTTGACAATCAGCAGTTACGGATTATATTAGCGGATTTGACCAATGAATTTATTTAATTATTAACATTGGATAGAAAAAATGACCGCCAAATTATTAAATCAAATGAATGATTCAAATTGTTCAGGTTTTAATTTTTTTTTAAAAATTTTTTCTATTTTATCCTTAATTATATGATTATCCATTTAACTTTTCCGTTAAATACCGTTAATTCACCGTTAGTCTAATTCTAATATTAACGTCTAATATAGAATTATAATTACACCATTAATCTAATTCTAATATTAAAGTCTTAATAGAACTTAACCACAAATCCTAATGTCGAAATCTCCTCAAACAATATTAGTATATATTTAATATTTTATGCCCTAATTTTTATTTGTTCTCCCTTATGTCCCGTATTTGGTTTCAACCATACCTATACAATTATTTTATTGACAATTATAATCAATCTTGACTATATTATCTTGCATTTGTAAACTTATAATTACCTATTTAACCCGCACGGGCTTAGCTCAATGGTTTAGTGGGCAGTATTTGGGAGAAGAGACCAAGGT